CATCCCCATCCCCATCCTCACCTCCCTCGGGGGCTGCTGGTTCATTAATGCCACTTTTAGCACTGGAAAAGTTGGGAATGAGGAGCTCCTGGAGGGAATCCCCATCCCCACCTGTTTGTTTTAGCATTGGAAAAGTTGGGAATTGGGATTTCAGCACCTCCTTCCTATAAGGATTAACCAATCCTCAGCTAGGGAAATAAAAGTGAGATAAGCAGAATAAAAACACCAGGGGGAAGTAAATTTCTAAAATTGAACAAAATTAAACTGTGCCTTAGCAATAGAGGAATGCACTGCCAGCCCCTATGGAAACTCAGATTTTTGGGAATTTTTTTAGAGCCCCCAAAGAGGGATTTAATGCCAATTTTAGCACTGGGAATTGGGAATTCAGCACCTCCTTCCTATAAGGATTAACCAATCCTCAGCTAGGGAATGAAAAATGGGATAAGCAGAACAAAAACACAGGGAGAAGTAAATTTGTAAAATTAATATTTCAGTTTTGAGGGAATTTGGGGTGATTTATTGACAATAATTCCATTATGAGGGAATTCTGGGTTTTTTTATAGAGGACATTTCATTTGAGAGGGAATTCTGGATGAATTCTAGAGTTAATTTCAGTTGTGAGGGAATTCTGAATCAATTATAGACAATATTTCATATTTCATTTGTGAATGAATTCTGCATGATTTTTTGGTGGCTATTTCAATTGTGATCAAATTCCAGGTGATTTATTGACAATATTTTATTTTTGAGGGAATTTTGGGTGATTAATAGAAAATATTTGAGTTGTGAGGGAATTTTGTGTGATTTATTGACAGTATTTCAATTGTGAGGAAATATTGGGTGATTTCTTGACAATATTTCAATTATGAGGGAATTCTGGGTGATTTATAGATGATGTTTCAATTGTGAGGGAATTCTGGATGATTTGTGGATGATATTTCAGTGTGAGGGAATTCTGGATGATCCCCTGAGGACATTCCAATTTTGATGGAATTCTGGATGATCCCCTGAGGACATTCCAGTAGTGATGGAATTCTGGGTTCTTTATAGAAGATATTTGAGTTGTGAGGGAAATTCTGAGTTATTTATAGAAGATATTTGAGTTGTGAGGGAATTCTGGATGATTTATAGACAATATTTGAGTTGTGAGGGAATTCTGGATGATTTATAGACAATATTTGAGTTGTGAGGGAATTCTGGATAATTTATAGACAGTATTTCAGAAGTGTTGGAATTCTGGATGATCCCCTGAGGACATTTCAGTAGTGATGGAGTTCTGGATTCTTTATGAAAGATATTTAAATTGTGAGGGAATTCTGGATGATTTATAGACAATATTTGAGTTGTGAGAGAATTCTGGGTTATTTGTAGAAGATATTTCAGTAGTGATGGAATCCTGGATGATCCCCTGAGGACATTTCAGTTTTGATGGCATTGTGGATGATTTATAGACAATATTTCAGCAGTGTTGGAATTCTGGATGATCCCTTGAGGTCATTTCAGTTTTGATGGCATTCTGGATGATCCCCTGAGGATATTTCAGTAGTGATGGAATTCTGGATGATCCCCTGAGGATATTTCAGTAGTGATGGAATTCTGGATGATCCCCTGAGGACATTCCAGTTTTGATGGCATTCTGGATGATCCCTTGAGGACATTCCAGTTTTGATGGCATTGTGGATGACCCCTGGGGACATTCCAGTTTTGATGGCATTGTGGATGGCCCCTGGGGACATTCCAGTTGCATGCCCTGTGTGTCCCTGTCCCAGGTACATGAAGTACCTCTATGCCTACGAGTGTGAGAAGAAGTCCCTGAGCTCCCCGGCCGAGCTGCAGGCGGCCATCGACGGCAACCGGCGCGAGGGTCGCCGGCCCAGCTACAGCTCCTCCATGTTCAGCTTCTCCCCCTCCACCCCCGGGCCCCCTTCCCTGCTGTCCCCTCCCAAAATCCGCTTCCCCATCATCGGCGTGGCGCCGGGCAGCGCCGGCAGCAGCCCCCGCCTCTCACCGGCCA